AATCTGCTTGAATTTGTACGAAATGCATGCTCCGTATGCTATTGCCATAAAAATATGACAATTCTGGACAATCAGTAGTCTTAGAAAATTTGTCAAGGATAGATATAATTGTCATTTGTTTTGTGATGATTCATCATGATGAGGAGAAATATTGATGATGGATTCTCTCTCTACGGGTTTTTTATAAACTTAGGATTAATTTATACTTATTTATAATATTCGTAGGCAAAACCAAGAATTCACAGCTAAAAAATAATCAATTCGGTTAATAAATAATCTACTGGATAATCTTTTCATCTTTTTTGCCTGACTTTTCGATAATTGTAACAAAAAAGGAGAATTATAAATGTCTGCTTAGTCAGCACTTCCATGTTGCTTGACATTGTTTCAAAAAAGAAATCTGTTAAGAATCGTAACACAAAAATCAAAATCACCTTGATGTGGAACGTTTAGCATCCCATTTGTTTTATAGAAGAATAATTTATTACTATTTATTTGAGTGCTAAGAGGCATAATTGAACTCGTTTGTTTTACAAGAAAATAATTAGCCATTATTATATCATTAGTCACTTTTTCAAAGATGAAAAGAAACATGATTTAATGATGATAGTCAAATCTTAACAATCGCGATAAAAAACGAATGTATTTATCATTAGACCTGTTGACTTATATAATACTCTTATTGCATAATTCCATAATTCTTTCTGATAAAATCAGATGATTAATGAATAAGAAGATTATGTACAGAATCGAGTTCTCTTGTTAAAAAATATGGAGTGCTAAAAATATGCTCAAATTAACAGTCAAACTTATACAATAGATACTGTGATGTAAAATAATATCAAGAAAAATAAGAAAATATGATATGCGCATAATAAATTGCACGCGCATCTACATTGTATATATACAGATATGTTTTTTTTCTAAGTATCGCTTTATGTTAATATATGAAAATAAAAAATATATTCTGTCTATCCATATCGCGTTGAAGGTCACATTTATCTTCCTTAGACAACTTATCCAGTCTCATAGCACTGTTTCTCACGACATGTATGTCTATGTTCAAAAATTGATCGGTAAAGAATAGTCTGGTCATGATAATATCATAGATATTATCGCTTCTTATATGCCAATCAATCCGTTGTGTGTGAATGAAGGCTCTTATATTAATATATTCTAAGGCATTATATATATATATATATAGATTTACGTAAGTTTAATATTTCCATAAAGTTTTTCGAAACAAAAATATGTTACATATTTAAAATTCATATATGTTAAAAGTTAGATAATAAAATATTAGCATAAAAATTTTGAAAAATAAAGAACTAATTAAGTAGATGTAAGTTATAAATTTTATAAAGATATGACAGAAGAAAGTGGAAGAAAATCTTCCCTGCACAGCAAGGAGACATAAAATATTAATTTTAAACATATAAGCCGTGAGCAAATTAATTAAGAAAGGCAATTAAAAACTCAGTTATTGAGGCACAGAACACGTGCAATTTATTGAAATTAAATATCTAGGTATTTGATCGGTGTCCTACAACCACGCTTGATTCTTAATCGCCTTTCTTACTTTATCAGAGGTCACGTTTCAAATGTCTAATGTCGAGTTTTCTTCTTAAGATATTCTATGTCAAAATCGTATATTTTGACAATTCATATATTAAAAAAAGACCTTTGAAGAATAAAGGTAGTATCACTTTCAATTTTGCGTCCAAAAATATTAAGTGTGAATTGTCTTGATTATTCTTTGTACACATATGTGTACACATATGATATGTTATACTTACATATATTAAATTAAAAATTTTTTAAAGCAATTTATTCAAATATATGTATAATATTCTCAAGGATATGTAATGCATAAGACATGCGCGTTTTTATTATTGCTACTATACCTAAAAAATTTTTTTGTATATCTTTAAAATTATTGTTTCGAAAAACGTTTTATGTAAAATTTACTCACAATCAGTATATATTTTTTACATTTTAAAAAGATTGCTATTGCACGGATTTGTAAAATGTATTTTAGAACGTAAAAAGAGTTAGATATATAATTATTTTAATAAATTCTTTAATAGAAACGAAGTGCGAATAGAAACGATGTGCAAAAAAGTATTTAAAATGCAAATATCTATAACGTCATTGAGTAAACGCAAGCAGTAGATAATATGAATTTTTAACCACTACACATCAGGTAAGATACATGGAAAAAAAATTTGCTAGCAAATTTTATGCTATTATAAAAAAACATGTTAGTTATTATATGGATAGAAAAAGATTTGTTACGGATGCTCTCTAATTTTATTTATTGCAAATTATTTTGTTAAATGTGCAAATTATATCGCTATTATAACAAATTTATTTGTATTTTGCCATCAAAATTTGTATTGGCAGCGATAACTTTGCTGCATTTAAAATACATTTGTTGGAAATAAATTATTTTGTTGTAGTAACAAATTAATGTGTCTTTACGAACAAATGTAGGTACTCAGCAAAATTCATCTATTTTAAGCAAAATAGATTTTGATATACTGAATAATTTGCAAAATTAGTTATAGTAGCAGTTTTGTTACATTTAATATGCAATAGCAACTACTACGATAGCAAAATTCTTTTTTTTTTCATATATATTAGATATATAGATCTACTGAAAGTATATTTATAAAAAGTTCGATAGTTGGTTGAGTATTTTTACCTTCAGCTTAAAAATCTGAACAAATTATATGTTACAACAAAATTGCAAAATAAAAAAGCTGTTATTATAAAATGTGTTAATTTATTTTTTATATGTGAAATATACATTATCTTTTAAGTAAGAACATTTTAATATACAGTTTTTTAAGGCTCATTTATTTGGCGTCTTTTACATTTTAGATAATTTTTTAGTAACTGTTAATCACAGCATTATAATTGACTTGGCTTTTATTTGTATTTTATTATAAGATAATGTGCTTTGCATTACATGTAGAATGGGATAAAAGCAATATTGCATATAACAAAAAAGGATTTATAAAAAAAATTTATTTATGTTTTTTATACATCGCTCGAACATTCTGTAGATTCTATAAATATGCATATATACGTATATACATTATATTTAAATAAAGCCATTCTGTTGACAATTATACTATTCTGCGAATATATGAGCACCTCTGACTTTTCGTCGTGATATCGTGTAGAATACAAAGATCCATTATTTCTTTGTTGATTGTATTGTGTTATTCATCTACACGATTTTATAACTGTCATAAATTGTCAAACAAGGGAAATTTGCTACATTCTCAATCACTTGAATTCACGATTTATTCGGGATATGTCACGCTTTTGCCAAGTATGCTTGGTACAATTACGTTTCTTATATCGCAATCGCAATCAAATCTCATAATTATTTATTAATAAATAGCTCAAAGCATGTACAAAATGCGTGGGGTAGAATGTCACCTTCTTTTCTCTCTATTTCATAAAAATTCTTTAAATATAAAATCTTTTCATTAACAAAATATTAATGTCATAAGTTTAAAATATTTTAATTTTAAATATAATTTTAAAATTTTTTAATTTTAAGCAAAGTTAGCTATACTATAATATAATTCTAACATGCAAATTTCGAAAAATATATCAGAATTATTATCATTTAATCAATGTCGCGCAATAATTAATTTCCAAAGCCTTCCAACATCTTATATTCCTCTCGCTAGTCTACTTTAAGTTCTTCTTTACTCAAATTCACATGAATATATCAATTTATATTCAAATTTAAATAAAACTAATGTGGTTTATTCTGAAAACATCGTTATTATTGTGATACAAATGAATTAATAATAAATATATTTATACAAAAGAAATCAAAAAACGTTTTCTCTATGATCATGTTTAATAAAATAGCAATGGAGCCTTCGCGAATGCTAGAGAATAAATTACTACTTAGTTAAAGAATAAGGATTACACTATTGTTAATCTTATATATACACAATACTTAACAATGTAATGTGTTTCTTTCGAGCATAAATTAGATCACTGTCCAGTGCTGAGTTTATATTAGAGAAAAAAACTACAGCATGTTATGAAGCATGTGTAATTCTTTCTCATCGTATAATACTTTATGCAGTATCCCTGTATTTATTCTTATTATACAAGGATCTTATACAATGGATACACTGGTTCTTGTAGTTTCAACTGTGTCAAATTATGTTTTTACGCTAAAAGTAGGGAAGAAATTACTACAATCTTGGTACAGAATAACAACCAACATCAAAATTAGAAATTCGACTTCTTTTTCTCTCCTTTATTTTTCGGTAACCGCCAAAAACGCTCGCGTGAACGCTTATTTCTTATTTGAGTCTATTAAAATTAAATATCTGTCTAATGGACGCGTAAATATAATCGTACAAGTTTCATAATGCTAATCATATAACGGTGTATGTACACCGTGCACTTGGTTCCCTCGAGTTTTTTTTCAACATCGTGAATACGTATCATGTTGTGATTTATATTATTCATAACTCATTATATCACATAAGTTTTCGCATTTTATTTACAATAACAGTGCCTTCATCTACGTACTCTCCTTAACTTCTTTTCTTGCACAATTGCTTTACAGAGCATTAAACCAACTAAAAATTTCAGTGTTCGATGGCAATATTAATCCAATATAATAGCAGCCTTTGAGTCGTTTAGTCGTTTTAACTATCATATGAATCACTTAACGAAAATAAAGCTTATGTTCTCAATCTATAAAAAATATAAATTACTCAATTAGACTTATTCTACTCACATATCGCAACATTTCAGTCTAAATTGTTGCTTTTAATAAAATAATCTTTCTTGTAACTTCTTAATTGCTTTCGTTAATTTCTCGTTAACGCTTTTTTTACTTTTGTTACGCAATTCGGCTCAATGCTCTGTTTTTCTTTAGTTTAGATATCACATTACTCCCCAAAACTTACAGATGTTATGTAAAATAACAATGTAAAGAATGAATCGCATGTATCTCAAAATGCACAAAAATTTCTTTAAAAAATGTTTATAATAGTATGGGAAAATTCTACTGCTCCGAGAACAATTGCTATCAATGATAGCATTCGTAATATTCACATAAAATGTATTTTACGTAAAAAAACATTATAATTATTAATTTAACAAATATTTGATATGGTCAAAGCAATGTCTTTTTTCTCCTCACCCATATTGTTAAAATGGGTTTTATTAAAGATAAATATAATGTAAATAATATCTGCAGCTTTGTGATACAACTTAAAACCTAAGCTGTATAAAACATTTCTTTTATAATTTAATTCAGCATTTTTGACTTGTTTTTCATCTCGCTTACCGCTAAGGAACTTTACCGCAATTGAACATTGCTCTTCACCATAATATAATTGTTGTAAAAATATTAGCATCTTGCTTCGACATTCAGACTAGATCATGAAAAATTGATCTGTTTTTCACTGCTATTTATGTGTAAGAATTGCGAAAAGCATGAAATCGTATGTATAATCATATCGCCGAATAGTCGAACAATATACTGCGCTTGTTAATTACGAACGAAGAAAGCTGGAGTCCAGCTGCTGGACTTGCACGTTACGTAGATGCAGCAGGGTCGGATTTAACAGTATGCTGTGTACAGGCACATAAGAGTGCCATTAAAAAATTATTTATACATAGTACTATATTTACTTACAAAATAATCTCCATATATATCAAATAGTTATTAAGTAATGTAATAGATAATATAGCATAACAGAACAAAATTAAATAAAAATAAATAAGTAAATTTTAAATAGTTGACTTATATATGATGTAACAGAAATCAGAATTTAGAATATAATAAAATTTAGAAGTTAAAATTTAGAATATAAAAGAGTTAACATTATATTAAAAACAACTCAATCTAACCTAACCTAACAATTTTGTGAAAATTTGATAGATTGCGCATAGTGTCATAAATTTGTGCGCATAGTGTCTATTGGTAAATCCGACTCTGACACACTCGATTTTTAGATAAAATAGAATGTGAAATAGAAATGAAAGAATGAGACAGTCTTACAAAGCCAAACAGAGTAAATTTTACAAACAAAAATAAATAGTAATATAAAAATATATATGACCAATAAATGAAACACAATAATTACATGACGAGATTCAAAGTAAATTTGTGAAATACTACGTCTGGCAAAATATTTACATTTGCCATATTGAGTCCCGAAAAGCGTTAAAATACAGACAAAAACGATGTCAGTAGAATTCAATTATGTATTGAATCTCTCTTTAGAGATAGCTGTAAATGAAAATTTTATATGAAATGTGCAAGAGTAATGTGGACAATAGCGTGGATATCAGGTACTTATTTTCGGAATTCGATATTGTGCTTAGTGTCGAAGCTTTAAAGTCACGGCATGGATATAGCTGAGATGTTTATTGCTTTCATAAGAGTCATAGACGAGTATACTTTAAAGCTTCTCAACGGCGGTCCTGTACTGGGCATTTGAATGCAGCATATCATCAACATACTCCGAACAACATTTCTTAACCTCTCTGTATTGCTAATATTTATCTGGTAACATAAAAAAAATTGTAATATTTGTGCATAGCGGGCAGTCTCATAAGATACTTTATCGCATTCATGATCGAAAAGACTGCTCGATATGTTTGCGCAGTTATGTTTCCACTTTTCTTTTCTTTACATTGCCTTTTCTGGCTTTCCTCAGGCCATAGAAATCGTAACATTAATACCTAGGTTTCCATTGTCAGCGAATAACTGCGCAATGGAGGTGTCAAATACAAGGCAGTCAGAATTTAAAATTGCAGACGATACACCCTCGTGAATAGAACGCGGCATCGCTTGCCACGTGAGACGTCTTCTATGACCATTCAGTTCTAGTCTATTAAACGGAATAGTTTAATTAAAATCTTTCAAATAAATACCCATAAATTGTAATTATGCCCAATTACCTGTAAGCAAAATTCTCTGCTTGCTTCCTGGAACCGATCAATTGTACAATCGCAAAAGACTGTTGATGTCCGTCATATTTCTCTTGTTTCTCGAGTACTAACATAAAGTGGTGACCGAAACAAGATTGCATCATTACCCAATCCACAGCTCCCGGGAGATTAATATCAGTTGCCAAAAAAACGATGTCTTCTCCTGTAAGGACACAAGAGGCATATGTATAAAAAGTTATAGCAAAGATACAATAAATTGAAAAAAAGTCAGTACCTTGTAAGGTCGTAATGCTCTTATGACTCATAATAAGATGAGGCATCACTTGTTCCAGCGATCCTTGCCACTTACAGGATGCACCTGGGCAAGGACAACTGTATGAACGGAACTCGCATGTATCCTCGTGGTCTGCTTTCTCGGTATGCACCAATGAAACTGTACAGCCACTGGTGGAATACTTGCAGGGAAACATGACGTTGCTTGCCACTTTTTCCATAGCCAAATTACGGATGTTACCTGTCTTGTCAAATTATTTATTAAGTACATTTTATCTTAATAATTTCAATAATCGTAAGAAAACAAATTTAACATTGCATACCCAGTGGGCCCCTGCACGTAGGGCAGCAGGAAAGTTTTGGTCGACAATTTGTGCAAACAAGATGTCCACTTTGACATTGCAAGATTGGTGGAAGCACATAATCAAAACAAACTGGGCACTCAAAGAAGCTCGCCAAGTCCGTGGAGCTGCTCAATGCGGATACAGTTGACGCAGAGGTACTCGCAACGCCTCTTCCCCGTTTGCCGGTACTGATGCTTAGTTGGGACATTTTGTCTTTCAAGTTATGTACCAAAGATTGATATTTTGACTACTCCGATAATAGTCTCTTTTCTCTTCTTGCACTGTGATCTCAACGATTATGATACATTTTTATCATAATCAGCTGATTCATTTCTGCAAAATCACAATATTTATGAATAACATTGCATTGTATTACACAAAAAAGTGTCTAGATCAAATTAACCTGACTCAGCATGTACTTAAAGATTAATTCTATTATGTTCAATAAATTTTTTTATTAACCAGTTGAGTGTCATCAATTAAGTAATTGATATTATTAATAAAATTCATACCAAAATATGTATCCAATAATTATAGTAAAGTAAGTGATACAATAAAAATGTATAAACTATCATCCGCGTGATGACGATTTCGATTATTATTAAAATTTTAATTACAATTCATGCAATTTCGAGAAAGATATTTTCATAAACTTTATCATAATCTAAATATGTCTTAAATGTTCTTCACTATTTTCCATTACTATTGTTATTACTTTAAATTAAAATTTTCAATTACCACATTATGCAGCTTCAGCGATAATTAATCTTCCTCATTCAATAAATATCACATAAGCTTCAGAATAACCTAAATATTCGGCGACTCGTCACGTTTTAATTACATACATTTAATACTGTATGCACACAACAATACATATACATAATTCCCAAGCGATCGCTATAGCGACGATACTTCTCGACCATTATGCAACACGAAATCGCTCGATTGTAACACGCGTTATTTACTCGACGCATCGTGGAAATCTACCAATTCATTACGATACGATCCCGTGGGCGATTCCGAATCCGTTATCACTCCGGCGAAAAGCCACACGCGCCAACAATCGCAGCCGGTACCCTGCTGCACTATATAGTACTCTGTGCTCTGTTACGACAAATATATATCCGACAATGTCTTAACCGCCGTTAATGCATTAACGGTAGAAAATATATTCCATTTTTACATAATAATTTATAAACTCTGAAAGAAATTTTGATAATAATTAACTTTGTTTTTTAATTGCACATTAGCACATTTTTTCCTTACAAAATTTGATAAACGAAAATTAGAGATAAGCGAACATTAGGATAGCTTATTTTTATCTTACCTGAGATAATTAGGTTTATTTTCTTATCTGATACGAAAACTTCAAATTAAGAACGTTAACTACATTTTAATTAAGGACTAATTAATCGGCACAGTCATTCAAAACCGATAGAACTTCAATCCCTGATACTATATATGATCAGAAAAAATCTTACGTGAATTGTTTTTTTTCTCTGTCACAGAGGCACACAACACGAAACGTTCACGCGTATGCGGCATCAAAAAATCAAAGAACTCAACAAACATATATCCTTTACTATCAAGAATTTTGCCGCTTTCTCCTCTCATTCCTCCGCGTGGATGTCTATTCCGTTTAAGGCACTTTGGAGGCACTTACCGAGGCGCACCGAGGACAGGATTAGACAAAGGTGTATATCGGCAAGATCGTCGCGGTCGCCGCCGAGGCAGATGAGACGTGCATGTACACCTAAATTATCTTTTATTGGTTTAACTGAGTTATTTTGTATAATATGGCCAAGGTATTTTACTGAGTCTGAGGCAAATGTGCATTTAGTAAATTTTAACCTGAATCCTTCCTTCTTTATTGCTTCCAATAGTTGTGTTAAATGGTCTATGTGTTTCGAAAAGGATTTTGAGAATAGTAAAATATCATCTATGTAGTTTACGGCGAAATCCGTGAGGTTGTATTTTCGTAGTATATTACCAAGTATTCTTTGGAAGATCGCCGGTGATGTTTTTAGTCCGTAGGGTAGACAGGTCCATTAAAAATGTCCATTTTGAGTTACAAATCCAGTCTTGTTTCTATCTTCAATCCGTAGGGGAATTGACCAAAACGCGGAGTTTATATCCAATGTTGTAAAGAATTCGCAATTTCTTATCTTTATTACCAGGTCTTCAATTCGTGGAAAAGGTTGGGCTTGAGATATTACTATTTTATTCAAGTCTCTGAAATCTATGCATAGTCTGCATTTTTTGTTTTTCTCTTTCTTGAAAGCTAATGTTACTGGTGCCGCAAATGGACTATAAGATTCTTCTATAAGTTTTTTTTCCAATAGTTTTCATATTTGCCCTTCAATTTTTTTTTATCTTGTTCAGTGCATCTGTAAGGCCTTTTACTGCAGTATTTGTCAATCAATAGGTCTATTCGTGCTTCATATTTTTTCACTGAACCGACATCATATTTGTCTTTTGCAAATACTGCTTTTTATACCTTTCGATCATTTCATTTATATCACTTTTTTGTTTAAGCGTCAGGTGATTTATTTTTATTTCGAAATCTTCTTCTTTTACTTGTTCATTAAAATTTATTAGAGATATTTTTTTTTCGTTATTATTATTGTATAAATTTGTAGAAATTTCTTCTACTTTAATTTTATTTTGTTGATTTGGGCTATTTTTTCTGAGTTATTCTTAGATTTTCATTTTGAATCAATTTAAAATCTCGAATCATGTCTAACCCAATTAGAAAATCATATTTGAAATTTTCCTTGTCAATGATATATACATCGACTTCTTTTTCTATTTCATAGATTTCAATTTTTAAAGTTGTCAAACCACTTGTTTTCTTAACACCATTAATTGTTATTAAATCTGCATTGTTGGAATGGTTTTTCCCTTCTTTTAATTTCAATATTTTGGAATTAATCAAAGAGACATTCGAGCCTGAATCATAAATTCCGAATATCTCTAATTTATCGTTTAGTTTTAGTTTGACTTTTATTAATGGTATTACTGCTCGTTTTTTGTTTCCTTTTCGTTTAATTCAGTTTCGATTACTGAGTTGTTGACATGTTTTATAGAGTTTTTCTTTTCTTGATTATTTTCTTCAGATCTGAACTAGCATAAGTGTTCGGGGTGGTACCGTATATTGATAAAAACATAAAAACTCTTTGCTTTTTCTTAAATAAATCTTTGCAAAATGCAATTAATACAAAAGCAAAAATATATCTGTTTTGAATTAGTCTAATTAATTTGTTTTCTTGTTTGTGAACTATTACGATTGTCGTTTATCATTTGCAATAAAAGACGCACGAAGTATCTTATAACGATAATAACAGTTATTGCGCAAAAGTAGAAGAAATACGGCGATATCTATGAGATATATTTGCC